TAAGACAAAATACTGGGAGTAGGGATTGATGAGGGTAACTACATGAGCTACTTTTGCATGGCGACCTACGGTAAGTGGTGGACAACTGAAAATAGGTCTTCGAAGATAAGCAATAAAGCGTGCCAATTTTTTTGAAGATGAGGTAGGATTTTGGATTTTAAAAACAGCAAAGTCAGACCTTGGTTGTCTTCCGGATGTTGGTATATCCCTACACAATGGTACGCTAACATGGGCAACTTAGAAAAGACTGATAAACCACACTTCCTAATTTGCCATGATACAGGCGGCGATATCACGGCGAAGTAAAAAGGACTAGAAGTGTTCGCCGATGCAGTGGTCGACAAGGCAACCTCCACGTTCGCACATACAAAGCATATACGAGCATACACAATGTTTCCTCCAGGAACTGGCGTTCTTAAGTAAGGGCTCACCAAAGAGCAAGTTCTTAACAAAATAAAGGCGGTCACAGTCCAAGCGAATGAGAGAATGGTGCCCTTTAATGTTATCTCACTCGTTACGTCCATTAAAAAAATCTTGCAGTCAAAATACTCACTGACCTGCTGCGTCAAAATTACCATGAGCACAGTGACCAGCCTATAGCTCAGAATCTCACAGAACTCATGAGGCACTGCTTAAAAATCACATGCAGGCAAATTTAGGGTACATTAATGGGTTCATCAATGTTTGGGCTCCTTGCCCGGTCGGTTCTGCAAAAACTTTAGAGGCGACCGTTCGAGAAGTGTATACTGAAATCTTGGGCATGCTCCGTTGACAACACCACCAACAACAATTGGGATAGGAGTAACCATTCCAAAGACCAAGTGATATACAGTTTGATTATGAAAGAAAAGAAGGACAGATTCCGTTCTTGGATGTCCTCCTCTGCCGCCGACCGGACGGTAACTTCGCGACATCAGTCTACAGAAAACCCTTGACCACGTCACAAATACTGGGTTACAACAGCAGTCACATGCTGAATTAAAGAATAAGAAGCCATATGTGCATGTTACAGCGGCGGGGGGAACCTCATTGCGTCAAACGCGTAACAGGACGAAATGAAGCTTCTCCAAGAACGCTTTCGATCCAAACAAGTATTTAACTAATCGTTTGAGTGGAACCAAATGCAAGGCAGGAAGGAGAACGGAGCGTGTAGTCAACCAAAATCATAGTGGAGCGTTCGTACATGAAAGGGGTCCACAAAGCCGTGGCGATGCGATTAAAGGACCCTATCAGGAGATTTTGACGATTGTATATTGATTTCAGTGCAGCTACATGATATGCAAATACATTGGAGAAAGCGGTAGACGGCTACGAACGTGAATGCATGAGCGTCAGTTGACTGTGCTAAGGCTGGATCAAAAATCGAAGAAAGTAACCCATGCCGCGCAGATGGGGCACACCTTCAACGTTGCCGCCGTCTCCTCCCCTTCCTGCAATGCTACAGTGGCACGATGAGTGGCTGGAATGGCTACATCCACGGCTGTGCATAATACATACACGCAAAGGGATTCCTGGCTCCTTACATTCCACACTGCAGTTCTAAGCTCTGACCGTTGAGGCAACAACGAATGGTGGCCCAGAGGTGTGTTTATCACAAAATCGGATGGGTAAACACAAACCAACCCCCCTACTTCTAGTCTCAAATGGCAGCGCGGGCAAGAGCGTCATCGTTAACCGAGGGTTCGATGACGCAACACGATGACGCAAACCCTCACACATGAATGCGCGGAAGACAACAAATAAAAATACCAATTATAGATTCGGAGTTTTAAAAATCCACCTCCAGCGCCTTCAGTGTTTCCGTCTGATTTTGGATGAGAGCCATCTTCTGTTTGCAGTCCTCCGAAAGGCGACTGTATTTCTTCCAGGAACTGTTGAACTCGCAGACACTCTTTGCCAGGTCATCAGTCAGCCCGGTAGCCAGGCGCAGTAGCTCCATGCTCTCGGCACGCAGATGCTCCAGGAAACCCAGGCGTCTTTCCGTCAGAACTACGGCCTGGTTGACGTGCACCTGTTCTGTGGCTGTCCGTTTGGCCTTGAAACACAGGGCGAAGTGAAGGAATGAAAAGGTTTGATAGACTCCCAAACACTAACTTAAACAACGTGGTAGAGAAAGCATCAACCAAAGAGTTCCTCTTCGGTAGTAAACAGAAGCAGAAACCTCACATAATACATGCGGCTTTGCGTTTTATTCCAGGGACCTTAAGGCTAGGATTGAGATTAGCGTTGCTGTTTGGGTTGGGCTTAGGACGCGGGAATACTTACCCTTCCTACAATTTAGCGCAAGGGGGAGGTTCTCCCTCTCGCCGTGTCCTGCCGGGGTGCGGCTATGTAACCGTCCTGAACCGTAACAGAAATGAGGCTTAGTTAAACTAAGAAAGATAATGACGTCACTACCGCCATGAAAGTAACATCTGAGTAGGCACATACACGTTTCTACGCTTGCACAGTAAGATTTAGCAGAGTCTAAATACTGTAATCTTAAAGAAAACGTTGGGCTGATTACTGAAAGGCAGCAGTGACATCACTGAGGCGGCCTTCCACGAAACACATGAACAAATACGGTCAGCCAACAGGTATAACCTCTAGTCAGTCGTGTTCTGACGCATTGTCGTGCGGTGCTTGCGATGTGCAATCGCCGGGTTTCGCCATTGTAGGGAGTCACGCCTTTTTTGTCTTGTTAATTATCCCGATCCTCGCAATTTATATTTGTTGGTAGATAATATTGCCAGCCAAGACAGGGGGGACTGCAATGGTCATTTTGGCTTATTAGCCGTCATCAGCTAGGCCTACCCAGACCGAAGTGGAGTCCTACCCGATCCGCGAATTTGCAATCTCTTTAAATAGAGTCAACCGCCCTAATCCTTGAGCCACGAGCTCATTGTTTTGCCAATTTTTTTAGTTCGGGGATATTGACACTCGTTGATGAACGTTCACCTGACCGCTAACGGAACTCCTCTGTCC